GGAATATGGTCCAGACTACTTACATATTTTTCTCTATACCCTAGACCCTAGACCCTAAACCCCAAACCCTAGACCCTAGACCCTAAACCCTAAACCCTAAACCCTAGACCCTAAAACTAAGCATGCGCAAGTCACCTTAAGGTCGTGCGCAGAGAGGGACTCCAACCTCAAGATCTTCCTTGGGTGTCGAGGCGTTTTTGGTTTAGGGTTTAGAGTTGGGGGTCTAGGGTTTAGGGTTTAAGGTGTAGGGCTTAGGGTTAAGAGATTAGGGGTTTAGGGAACCCTAAACCGTAAATCCTAAATCCCTAAATCCTGTGATCCCTAGGCCCGGGTTCCCAAGCTTAGGATTTCCTAAGCCCGTCCAGCACTTCCAAAGTTCTACGTCCGAACTTCTGGACCCTAAATCTCGGGTACTGCCTCCACCTAGCATCAGTCGATCAAAGGAAATACAACTTTATAACCATAGTATGAATATCTTGCCGCTGTTACTAGGCAGCGGCAGTACCAACCTAAACCCCTAAACCCTAACCTCTAAACCCCTTTTTGCATAACCCAGAAGCCCTGAATCCTCGCTCTCCTGAAAGTTCAACCCTTCGGCCCTGAGTTTAGGGTTTAGGGGTTTGGGGTTTAAGGTCAGGGCTTAGGGTTTAGGGCGTAAGGCTAATTAGGGTTTCCCATAGGCGCCTGGTGGCATATGGAAAAGACTTTGGACCTTAAAGAGGTGCTGTATAGGTACTTCTGTTTAGGCTTTATGGTTTAGGGTTTAGGGTTCAGGGCCTAGGTATACGCCACATAGATACTGGGAGCCCTAAACCTCTAAACCCTTGTGATAGTTGAGCTTCTCGGCGTAATTCAAATTCAAAAACCTCGTTGCAGCATCATCAAACTCATTTGCCAACAGTGATGGTATCGGCACGCCCCCGAGGTTGAATATCCAAAGCTCCTCCATGTCTTTGCAGTAGTGTATTGGGGTGGTATGCTGGGGTCCCGCCACGGTCAAACCATCATATAAAAGCATATCACTGTTCTTCACTACAAATCAGGAAACTGTCATACAAAAGCAGGTCACCTTTATTTCATGTCAAATGGTCTCTTCTATTTAAGTGTCTGCGATGGGGGTACTGTTCCTTGAGCTTGTCAGCTTTTGGGCTGACCCCAGTACATGCGAAGCTCCTTAGGATCTGGATATTCTATGGTTTTCTCATACCACGGGGCCTTGGGGATATATGCGGACCATATAACCCCTATGGTAGTGCCCTATTATTTAATGCCCTATATAAACCCCTTTAAGGAGTCAAGACTATAGCTCACATGGTGGAAAATTAATTTTTTTTGAACGTCAGAACTTCCGCGGCTCCTTGTAGCTCCCCATGGACTGTCGGAAGCAGAAAGCCAGAAGGACCATGCCTTAGCTGACTTGGTTTAGGGTTTAGGGCTTAGGGCCACAAATTCTGCATCTTAAGCCATAGCCCTACCTTAGGCCCAGAAGGCCTTCAACTGTAAAAACCTAGAACTAAAGGTTTTCTGGGGGGTCTAAGGTGGACTCTAACCCTTGAACCCGCAGCAATACATCCAAACACGAAACCCTGCAGCCAAGAGACAAATCAAGAAAAAAATGGCAAAGCCCAGGGACACTACAGCGCCACCTGTGCTGCTTCAAGTTTAGGGTTTAGGGTCTCAAGGGTATACAGGGGTAAAAAAGGGTTCTTATGGGGTTTGTGCCTCATAGACCCCTCTTTGCGTGGTCAGGGGGACTTTGCAAGTAGGTTCATAATGGGCATGGTTGGAGTTGTTACATGGCTTATAGGCTTATAGGGACTGTAGGCATATACTTACTAACTTTCCCTGACTTCTACATTGATATATGGGGATAGACAGGGTCTTGAGTTTGAGGAATTCTGTGATGGAGTGCATCTCAGGGGCTTCGTATATCCAGCGGCTGAATGATTAGCCACATGTTAATCGATCTGGCAACTGATCAAAATTGGTACCCTCTGTCACCCAAACTAGATTTGGATTGCAGGCAAATTGTCCGGCCTCCATTACTTCGATTGCCGGCTTTTGCGTAGATATTGGGGTATTGTCACGTGGGAAACTCCCAAATGCAAACTGGATAAGGTTTGATCCGCTAATTGCAACCACAAGGGATACGTAATGGTAATCATATCACGGGCTTGCTTGGTCCTGTTGTGCCACGATTGCTGTACTGGGTTTTGTGGGTCACCCTAAGAGAAAGGTCTTCTACGCTACAGCCTTAGGTTTCCGGGATCAAGGTTTTGGATTTAGGTTCGAAGGTTGTGTGCTGGGGGGGCAGGTAACCCAGTCGGAACATGCAAATGCATTCACACATCCAAGCCACTGTTGGCCATGTCGACAAAAATCAGCATGCTTGTGCCCAGATCCGGAACCAAAAGCGAAGCGTTGTTGATGAGCATCACCAGTGAGACTCCAATCCATGCGTCTATGGCATTCAAGACTGGTGTCTTCCATGGCCACGAGACAACTTGTAGCACCAGGTATAATGCAATGAACAACTGGACAAAGGTGGTTTGCACCGGCGGGTAGTCAGTAGCGAGGACAACCGGCAGAGACATTAAAGGACCCTTGGCCAGCAAAGGCACCCCGTACCACCATCGGTCCAAACGGAATCGAAATATCAAGAACTTGCAGGCTCGCACCCTGAGCGCCTTTCCCCCGACGCTCCATGCCGGTAGCTTATGCGCGAGGAAACAGCAAAGCGTCAGGAATCCCAACACAAAAAACACCAAGAGCAAAAGCCCAGCTATCAACATGGCGCCATGGGCATCTGAGCCGCAGAGTATGCTTGGATACCTTGGGGACAGTCGAGATACAATGAAAAGCGGACCATATTAAATCTTTACTGGGTTCAAGTATATGTACAAACGCAAAAAATTGGGAAAGATCACCCTCCTTGCAACAGCAGCTTGATACATGGGATTCCATGTTAGTTTGTCCTACTGGCTAAACCTAGTGATTAACACCAAGCCAGGTGCTTAAGCATGCTGCGCAAGCCTGTAGGATGCTGGTAGCACATGAAAGGTGCCAACGCCAATGTAGTCATGGGGCTGTAACCAACCTGGGGGGGGGTGGGGTCTTTCGGTCTCGGGTTTGCCCTAAACCCTAAACCCTAAACCCCTAAACCCTAAACCCAGGTTTGGGGTTTAAGGTTTAGGATAGCTTGCCTCAGGGCTAAGGCTCGGGACTTACCAGGAACCCCCAACTAGCCCTACGTATGGTCTCTGCGGGTTCTATTTGTGGGTGCTTGGGCTCTATGGAGTGTACTTAGGGGTCCAGGTAGGGCTCAGAGCTTATGGCTTTGGGTTGTTTCAGCTTCAGTGTTCTCACGGGCTCCGACCTTGTATGGCCCACAGGGTTTCCGGTGCATTTAAGGTTCAGGGGCTCCGGTCTTGTATAGCCACACAGGGTTTCCGGTTTGGGGCTGAGGGAATAGTACCCCCACACAAGTACCAAGATATTTGTCAAACACCAACCTGCATGAACTGCCCTAGGGTGCTAAGAAGTTTTGGTACCTCCCAGCGCAGTCGTTGATTGGGCTGAGCTCGGGAGATGACGAAGCACATCCCGATGTAAGCGATCAGCGCGGGGAAGAACCCAACGCTGATCACCTTAGTGGGGGTTTCCCAAAATTAGGGGTACCATTTTGGGGGTCCCTATAATAAGGACTATAGTATTTTGGGGGTCTATATTGGGGTTCCCTTATTTTGGGAAACTACCTAGTGAACTGTAATAGCTGTCCTTGGTGAGAAGAAAAGCCCCCGAACATCTGAACTTCTGTCAGGAAAAGGGAGGAGGCTGCAAGTCGTCCAGGTAGGGACTCAGGGGAAGGCCCCCCAGCGTCTCCTTGCCTGGGAACTGCACGCTAGGGATGGAGAAGCAGAGAAGTGGCGAGGCTTGACTGACCCAAGCACATTAGTAGGGTTTAAGGGTGGATCCCTGTACTGATCCTGATAGAAAACCCATAGCTATCTTCCCATCAGGGTGCCTGTCTTCTGATCCCAATAGAACCCCCACATTTTCCTTCCAAGAAGAAGACCTAAATTTCCTTCTCCACTTGCTAAACCCAAACCCTAAACCCCAGCAAGTCACGTACCGCACTACCGGGCTCGAACCAACCACACAGCTAAAGCCGAAGTTGTCCAGGTCGAAGAGCAGCCTAACGCAGAGTCGGTGTTTTTTTAGGGTTTAGGGTTTAGGGTTTAGGGTCGGTGTTTGTTTAGGGTATTCTGGCCTTTGGCCAGCAAGAAATGAAGGAATGGAAAAGAACATGGAAACTACAGGGATGATAGGGCTTATATAGGGATTCTATTGGGATTCTATTGGAGTTATACAGGGATCACGGAAAAGAAAAAAGGGCAACTACTATAATGGGTTCTACAGGGACTACTATAAGGATCCATTCCTTCATTCCTAGCTAACCAAAGGCCAGCCTTTGGGGAACCAAACATGAACAACGATATGGTCATGCTTTTGGAGGACAACCCTAAACCCTAAACCCTAAACCGTGTGGGGCCTAGGGTGGAGATTGAAAACCAAGTGCGACATCCTCAAGTCATCGATCGCATTATGGGGTGCCTTGTGATAATGGCTACAAGATTGGGTACTGCCCCCCCCCCAGTAACAGTCTATATCAGGGGTCCTACAAAGGGCCATAGAAAACCATAGTATACTTATTATCCAACTGTTACTGAGTGGGGGCAGTACCGAACCTAAACCCTAAACCCTAAACTCTAAACCCTAAACCCTCAACCCTAAACCCTATACCCTAAACCCTATACCCAAGGTGCCTTATAAGAATGGCTACAAGATTATGTTTCGAGGCAAGACGGCGAAAGGACCCCAATAAGGTTGTGCAGCGGGTGTGACTGCTAGACGCAGACCCCAAACCGTAGACCCCGAACTTGCGGTAAGGGTCCAAGGACCCAAATAAGAGGGATAGGGTTTTAGGGCCCAAATACCAATAATTATGTAGTATTTTGGCCCTAAAACCCTATCTTTTGGGTCCTTGGCCCTTAGGGACTATAATTATTCCTATTACTATTGCCCCTCCTCCCCCTCGTCCTCGTGCTGCTGCACCTCTATAAACCCTCAACTCTTACCCCTAAACCCATCCCTAAACCCCAAACTCCTCATCCCGAAGCCTTAGGATCCTAAATCCGCACACCCCAAAAACTCAAAGCTCCAAAGCCCTCAACCCCTCAAACAGTAATCCCCAAACCCTTAAAAACCCTAAACCCAACAAACTGGAAGCCACAAAGCCCCCTAAACCCTAAACCCTTAGACCGCAGGGACAGCTGCACCACGCCGAACATGTCTACCAAGGCATCGGGCCAATCCACCTGACTTTGTAGGATTCAGGGTTTAGGGTTTAGGATTTAGGGTTTAGGGCTTAGCCTTTCCCCTTATTCCCTACCAAGAACCCATACGTGTTTGGGGTAATTAACGAGTAAAAGACAAGAGCATGGAAAATAGCATGCAATTTGGAGCTCAGGGCTGCGGGTTAAGGGTTAACTGTGTTAAATGATGAAGAACATGTCCTTCTTACATAGGAGACCATCTTGCTCTGTCGTGGGGACGAAGCGATTCATCTGAAATGCTACTCACCTGTTAAAGGGACCTACTGTGGTCCCCTTAAAGCTATAATGAAAAGTATTTTCTGAACGTTCCTTAGGGTTATACAAGAGTAAAAGACTACATGAGTTAACGGGACCTAAACCCTAAACCCTTAAACCCTAAAGCCTAAACCCTTAAACCCTAAACCCCAAGCCCAAACCGTAAGCTGAGTTTGGTCTAGGATTCAGTGCTGAAGGCATAGGAAGTTGGGCCTTCGAACTTTGGCGTTGAAGGTTCAGGCCGAGAATTCTAAGACTGCTTCATCTGATGTAGGATTGGGGCTAAGGCTTGAGGTTTAGGGTTTAGGGATTAAGATTAACTAAGATTCTGAGCCAGGACTTTGGGCATAGGGTTTAAGATCTTGGGATGAACGTCTTGGCCTACCTTTAGGGTCTCGGAACTACGTGCAGTCATATTCCCAGGACAACGCTTCAACAGCCCCCAAAGAGCAAAGACGGAGCTACTCAATTCCCCGACATGAGTCTCTGACATAACCCTCATAATTAAGGTTATAAGATATTCTTGGGCACAGGATATATGCCTCCAGAACAATACGTGTTGCATTTATCTTGTGTTTTTTGCATATTGATTTCGCGTGTGTCTTTCATGTTTTGGTGGTTTTGTGGAATTATGCATTTTGTTTTGCATTTTGTGTTGTGTTATTGTATCTATTTGCATCTTGTGGATGTTCGCTTCGTTTTGCATGTTTTGCATTTTGGTAGGTTTGTCGCATTTTTTGAAGAATGCGATGAATCTACCAAATTCAAAATGTGCAACACAAATGCGACATTGATGCGACAAATCCACAAAATGCAAGACTTGCAAAAACAGCGATGCAACAACCCTGCAAAAATCCACAACACCACCAAAAAATGCAAACCAACATGCGAAATCAAGATGCAAGAGCAAAACGCAAAATAACGGCATGCATATTTTCTGGAACAGTCAGCTGTAGCAATAGCTAGAATATCCTATACCTTAAAGGGGCCCCTATCATGTCGCCCCACTTGTCAAGGTCACACTCAAAGCAAGCTCTTGCTTCCCCCGAAACGCGAAAAGGTGCCACGGAGCTCAGTGAAGTTTGTGGTTTATATAATCCCAATATAACCCAATATGGTAGTTTACATTTTCTTTTCCATTATCCCAATATAGCCCCTATATATCCCATATAACCCTCACTAGGGTTTGGGGTTTGCGGTTGGCGACCTTCAGGCTTTGGAACTTCACGATTTGGACTTTGACTTTTTCGTCGGACCTTTTCATCTTTTGGGTGCTACGCTTAGGGAGCGTCAGATTGTGTGTATTTTGCTTGCATGGCCAAAAGAAAACGTCGCATGGCAACACTTCCGGCACAGTTTCATTGTCAAAGCTGCAGAAAGGCCTAGGATTCAGGCTTGTATGTCCGTTTCATGACGGGGAACTACGTAATTACAGGCCACACGGTTTGCGTAGCCACTACCAGCAACACTGTTCTTTACTTCTAGATCCCTCAGAACCTAAAGCTTGGCTAGAGGAATTGAAGGGGTGAGGACCTGGACTTGAGGGATTTTGCCACTTGGGGGGTTTGGGTCACTTTGGGGACCCAATAATTGGGAACCCTTGTTGGGAAGACTTATTGTTGAGTGGCAAACACCACTCCTTTTAAGCACCAAAATCGACCGCAATCAAGCCACGCTCAAACCCTTCAGCCCCAACAGTAACCGAGGCGCTGTGATGAGACCAATGATGCCAGCGACTTGCAGAGAGTTTAAGAACATTCCGAAGGCACACGTCGTGGCAAGCATAATCCTGGGTTTGAAAAAGGAGGGCTTGCCAAAACCCTAAACCCTAAATAGCAAGTCGCCTGGAGTGTTGATCGCTGACCAACTGCATGCATAAATAGTAGTTTCCATTTTCTTTTCCTTTATCCCAATATAACCCCTATATATATACACCCTATATAATCCCTATATAACCCCAATATAACCCTAAGAGTTTGGGACTTTCACAAAACCGCGCAAGCAAAAGGAAAGATGTTTCACGCGCGAGGGGCCTCGATCCAAAATCATACCCCAAATCTTTTCTACGTTGCGAGTCTTATAATATATGATGGCGATGCTTTGGTGGTATGCCTGAAGCCCCTCCACGATGTACAAGATGCGAAAGAGGACTGGACAAGTGAAAGTAAGGATTGTCTGCCTTTGATCATGGGTTCCCCCACTACCCCCCTCTATGCTACCCCCTGAGTTCCCCCTTTAATAAAGGTTAAGAAGGGAAAATTAAGGGGGAACCCAGTGGGTTGGGATACAAAAGGGGAGTAGGCGAATGCATGATGTCATGACCCCTGATTCATAATCACAAACCTCTATAGAACCCATGCTTCCAACTCATTTCCCCTGTCCTGCTCCATTTGCTTCTCCATTCCCGAGGTAATATTCCCCTAAACCCTAAATCCTATTCTCCTGAGCCTGAGCCCTGTTCGCCTCAGCGACAACACAAAACCCTAAACCCTAAACCCCTAAACCCTCCCTAAACCCTAAACCCCTAAACCCTAAACCCTAACCCCTAAACCCCTAAAACCTAAACAAAGGCCGGGGATCGAGGCTTTGGCTGTGGTCGTGGATGTCAGCATGTAATAGGCGCATGTGATGAACCCAACGCCGCCCAACATGCAGAGCACCCACATAAGCCTAGGGGTTTAGGTTTTAGGGTTTAGGATTTAGGGTTTGGGGTAGAGTTTAGGATTTCAGGCTTGGGGCTTCTTGGCGGTACTTTTGACTTGGGGATTTAAATTCAATGTTCTAGCATGGCTTGAAGCCTAGTTTTTGAGATGTGGTCTAGGATTTCCTCTCTTTGAGCATTTAAGGTCTGGAGTTTGGGGCCGCAGCCAGGGCATACATTCAGGGAGTTTTCCTTTGTACCCTTGGGGTTTGAACCCTTGGGTTTGGGTCCCAAAACCATGAAAAATAGCCCTTAATAAGTGTAGTTGGGACCCAAAACTTAGGGTTACAAACATAAAGGGTACAAACTTAAAGTCTTTGTTACATACCCTCCCAGAATCTAAGAAAGACCGCCGTCCTTATAAAGGCTGAGTACCTCAGGCTCCATTTTGGATAAAGGGTCGGACAGTAGGTCTCATAATCACTATAACTTGGAGTGTTATACCCTACCTGGACCCCTGAATATGCAGAATAATTGCATTTTGGGTGATTGGGAGCATTCTTTTACCTACTTTAGAGTGGGGACCAAACCCTGCTACATCGCGATCAAGCCCCTCACGCAACAAGAGTCTGTAACTTTAACAAACCCTGAGAAGCATGCGCAAAGAGTGTGTGTTGCTGGCATGCTCTTACAAACCTTGCTGGCACTGTTGGACGAAGGCTATTATGGAAGAGTTGGCAGACCTAAGCTACCTCCGCTACTTAGAGGGTCATGCGAACTGCATGAAGAGATTTATGGCACCCATAATGCCAAGTATCCCCTACTGGGGGGCGTAGCATTAGAGGGGGTGAGGGGGTTGTTATTAGGGGGCTCTTATGGCTCCGTTCTGTTATTCAAAGAACACACTTGGATAGTGCAGCAAACTTGCTGGGGATTAGTAGGAATAAGGGAACTCAGTATGTAGGGATTGTCTAGAGATTAGACCCTACAAACCACCGGTAAGTAAATGATCTCTAGGATCTGTATGACTAGGTTTACCCAGGTCGCCATGACCATGTCTCCATCTAGTTGCTCAAGGTAAATCCGGCCAAAATATGCTGTCTTGCTGAACTTGTGAGACTGCTCCGTGCACGAATGTAATGTCACACAGTTCGCCCCACTTCTTTGCGGGCTTGTAGTAGAAGAACCTGAAGCCCTAACCAGCAGTCGATAAGAAAGAGATCCTCCAAACTCGACAATCCCGAGTTGCACTGAATTGAACAACCCCCCCTGGCGCCCGAAAGCCTCTACTCTAAAGTTATGGACACCTAGCCACCCCCTCTATACTACTCTCCCGGTTTCCTAGGTTTATAAAAGTAAACCAAGCGGGAACCTTAGGCAGGGGTAGTATGTAGTTAGTTTGCAGGGGGGGGGGGGGTGAATCAGGGGGG